GGAATTTTAGGTTTCAGCATTCTTGGGAATAAAATGAAATTGCAGACCATGAGCAGCTCCTTCATGTCTACCAGAAAAACTCTCCAGTCCTAATACTTTTCTAAAACCAGAGGAATTACATGGGAACAAGAGATAAGAGGATTAGGCTTTCTAGATACCCAGCAACATGTACACAAATGCATCTCCAGGGCCTTTTTTCATGTTTTCTTCTTGGGGCTTCTTGGCTAAGCGCATAAGAATGACAGGAACCTTTGGTGTCAGTGGGAACACATCTGAGCTAATCAAATATTCTACGCTTCTTCCCTCTTAAATGTGAAATAGAGACCCAGAACAAAATGTTGTGAGAGTTGCAAGGTTGATGCTGAAAATGGCAACCCCACTCTTCCCTCTCCTGCTGCTGTCTGGTAATACAAAATGTGAAGCATAATAATTCCTCTGAGTTTCCTTATCCTCTCTTCACCACTGGGGCAGGGAAACCCAAAGGATCTTGAGACCATATTGTGCGTTTCGTATTGCCAGATATCTCCAGAGGACAAAGGAAGTAATACTGGGCTGCCATTTTCAGTGGCAGTCACACATTTCTCATAGGTAAGCTGAAAACATGACAAAAAGTCTAGATCGCAGATCTCATGAGGAAAGGAACTGAATATGTTTAATATGGACTTAAAAAATCAAACGGCAGAGAACATTTGTTGACTTACTTTTATTAAGGATGTCGTGATTACTAAGACCCAGCAAGGATTTCTCAAAAATAAGTAATAGTACCACTCTATTCTGCCTCGGTCAGACCACAGCTAGAATACTGTGTGCAATTCTGGGCACCACAGTTTAAGAATATTGACAAGCCGGTACATGTGCAGAGGAGGGAAACCAGGATGATAAAGGGTCAGGAAACCAAGCCTAATGAAGAACGGTTGAAGGAGCTGCGTATGTTCAGCCTGGAAAAGAGGAGACTGAGAGGAAATATGATAGACATCTTCAAATATCTCAAGGGCTGACACAGGGAAGAGGGAACAAGCTGGTTTTCTCCAGCTCTGGCACCAATGGCTTCAAGTTACAAGAAAGGAGATTTTGACTAAACATCAGGAGAAGCTTTCTGATAGTAAGAGTTTTTCGACAGTGGAATGGTCTCCCTTGGAGGGTTTTAAGCAGAGGTTGGGCAGTCTTCTGTCATGGATGCTTTAGCTGAGACTCCTGCATTGCAGAGGGTTGGACTGCTTGACCCTTGGGGCTCATTTCCAACTCTACAACTCTATGATTCTGTTATTATTGGAGTTGTTGTTCTCATCACCATCACCCTCATTATCAAAATAATGGAAGAAATAATAGTTCTCCTAAGCCATGGGTAGGCAAACTAAGGCCCGGGGCCTGGATCCGGCCCAATCGCCTTCTCAATCCAGCCCGCAGATGGTCCAGGAATCATGAGTAGAATGTGCCCTTTTATTTAAAATGCATCCCTGGGTTATTTGTGGGGCATAGGAATTCATTCATTTCTCTCTCTCCAAAATATAGTCCGGCCCCCCATAAGGTCTGAGGGACGGTGGACCGGCCCCCTGCTGAAAACGTTTGCTGACCCCTGCTCTCAGCTGTTTCTGGGAAGTGCAGTTTCTTCTGACTCTTCCTTGCAGCCCCCGCGACATCTCCTGCCCCATTTCCAAAGTTTCCCTAAACCCTCCAACAGATCTTGAGGATGGGGGGCATGGGGCAGTTGCAGAGGGAAGAGGGAGGGAGGGAATTCCTATTTCAGAAATAATGTGTTTTGTTCATGGAAGGGAAATTAGGATCCAAGCTGTGGTGATGCTGCCTCAAATTGCTAGACTTAAAAAATAACACCGACCTTGTGCAGAGTTTTGCAGTATATGGATAAGAAACACATTAGGAGGAAAGGGAAAGAAAAGTAGAAATAGTTGTCTTTTTAAAAGTCATCCAGGATAAAACAAAGTGACCAGATATTTTATAAGGAGATATTTTAATTTTTTTAAAAAAAAACATGAAAAGAGTTTGATCCTGGGTAGAGGGGCTTTACAGTGATGGGAAATGGAAAAGGAATTTAGACAGGAAACAGAGAGGATAAACATGGCTGATCTAGAAGGCTTGTCTATACGGAGTGAAGGTCCAAGGAAGAACAGAGAGACTGAGAAGAAGAAAAGATAGATATAAAGGGGCAAGACCCTGGAGATATGTGAAAGTAAGTGCAAGAATCTTAAATTGGAGACCTAAAGTGAGAAGGAGCCATTGAAGAGAGCAGCACAAAGGAGTCATATGATTGGAATGACAAGTAGAAAATATCAAATAGTATGTATTCAAAAAACCCTTGGATAAGAGGAGATACAATTGCTTATCCGCAGGCATTAACTCACTAGGTGGTTCTCGTAGGCAAACCTCTGCTCCTTGACCCAGCAGCGCTTATTTAATGACCTGTTTTTAAAATGTGCATATTGCTTTTCAATAGACTTCAAAGTGGCTGCGCACAGTTTTTAAAACCAACAACTTCATATGAAAATAATAATATTGAACTGCTTTAAAGGCAGCTGTGTGTGTGAAGCTCTCTGAACTCTCTAAAGACCTGTATCAGTTGTTGCCCCTAGCAGAATGCCTTCGTTGCGTGCCTGATGAGAACTTGCACGTGCCATAACATTGCCATAACTGTGGTTTAGCTGTCGTTGGGGACAGAATCTACCCAGTCTTGGGACTCAGCAATCAAAACGCATCATTTCTAAGTCTCTGAAATCATTTATCCTTAGAAGCTTTTTCATTGCTGCTAATGTTGATGAATGCTTGAAAATCTCTTGCAACTGCAGCCTGTTGCTGTACAAGGCTGCTTATCCAAGGAAAGCTCACGCAGTGTCAGATCCTGAGGTGTTTGTTGTTTATGGAGGTTTCAATTAGCATCTGAGTGATGTCACTGGCAAACCTTTCTTCTCCACGCAGTTAGCTGAGACGCTTGATGCCAACATGTAAAACTGCTTGTCGACTGAAAGGTTCTGTCATGCAGTTCTGTGTGTATCGTTTGGGTGCCTCTGTAAGGCTGACAGGAAAGCCCTTCAAATATGCAAGATTGTGTTCTGTGAAACCTTGGCACTTATTTGGTGCATAATTGGAAGTATTGAGTAGGACAGGTACGTTTCTGGTATGAGGTTTGTTTTCAACATCACGTGTAAGTTGTTTCTTTGTACTTCTCTAGTCTGAAGTTCACAGATAAAACTATATCAGTCCTTTCAGGGCTCCTATTTCTATATTTTTTAAAAAAGACCAAATGTTATACATGCACACCATTCAAAATTGTTGGAATGTTGTATTTGAGTATATATAGCTGAGTACCAAAATTATTAGTAAGATCGAACAACTGTGAAGAAAGTGTCACAAAATGTTTGGAGGATGGTCTTGCCCTGGTGCCTTTGCAGCCTCAAAAATAAATGTTCCAACCAGGTACTAGAGGTGGAGATCTGTGGGCAAGGTGACAGCTGCCAGTCCTTGGGCAGAATATGGCCTGTGGAAGGCAGGTTTTAGTGCCCTGCATAACTCATTGCCTCAACCCATGGTTAGCCAAACCAGAATAAAATACGCAGAATAAGAATTATGACGTAAATTTGCATTATTTAGTCAGGGAGCAGAATCTAGTATCCAAAATTTTAACTTCAGGTGTAATTGCTGGTAGCTGCAGACACATCCCATGCTGTGTCCAGGTTAGCTGGAAGCACTGGGAATTAAACAGGGTGAGGGGAGAGACTTACAAAATGCATTTTGAGTTGATTGAATTGAGAAATAAATACAGAAGAGAGCCCGCTTCCTTCTTGGACTAAGTATTATGATAAGTAGGTTATGAATGGAAAAGGATAAGTGTCCTGGCATTTCTGAATAAGTTGTTCACAGTTAACCTTCTTTATTGGAGAAAAGTAGGTTCATGAGCCTAGAGTTGGACATCAGTGAGAGAAAAGGGTTCAAAAATCTTGTTACTACTTTAGTGTGAAATCTCAGCCCTGTGCTGCTGTCAGTTGGAACTTTTTGATTAATTTTAACTTGATCAGCATTTCACCCTTAAATAAATATCAAGGCTAAATTTCCCAGTAATTAGAAAATATTTGAAAGCAACTATTGATTTTTCTCTTTACTTCTCCTGCTGCTCTTAATTCAGTTGCCTTTTCTTTCTGATCAGAATCATGCTGCTTCACAAAGAAGCTTTACAGACGTGCAAAAAACTGCAGAAAACAAATGTGTTTGAAAAAAGATTTATTTATTTAAATTGCTTGCTTGCTTGCTTATTTATTTATTTATTTAGAATGTGTAAATTACAGCACGTCATGACCTCTTCTTGAGTTGGCACCTGGTCCAAGCCCAGATCTGTTGTTGTGCAATATGTGGCATCATTCTAAAGTTACAATCCTAACTATACCAACTTATCTGGGATTAAGTCCCACTAAACTCAAATGGACTTACTTTTGAAAAGACACCCATAAGAATGCACTGCACATTATAGGTTGGAGCTAGACTAAGGTGGCAGTCCTAGGCCGTCATTTAAATTCTGTGAATAAATTTAGGATAGTGCAGTAAACATGCTTATAGTAAACAAGTTTGGGATCATTCTGCAAGACCCTGAAGAGATGGCTGTGTAGTAGGTATATCTTACTTTTTGCAATAGGGAAGAGAAGGCAGTACTTTCTTAGCTCCCCCCACCCCATCCTAGTTACTAAGGGAGAGGAAAGTACTGTACTGATTATATATGGATAAGTCATTGGCTTTTAAAACGGATCCTCCTGTTGTTATTTGTTTTCTAGCACAACAGCTGATGCATGTAAGAAATGATGTAAACTGATTTCACTGGTGCAAAAGAGTGGCAGTTTAGGAAGCTGGTGTCCTGAAATAAATATCAGTTTTGCAGATGAAGCCAATAACTGACTGAAATAAAAGCATTCAAAAATCACGATGCCTCTTTAATGAATTAGGTGCCAAAGTTTCTTTAAAAATAAAATTGTAATGATCTGTGTGTTTTTCTCCCACAGATTCGGCCCCCGCTTTGAATTCTATAAAGTATTGTAAGTAAATGTTTTTTTTGTACTTGATTTGTTATAGTGAACATTCATTTTCAATGATATTTTGTTATGTTTGTTAGAATGTCATCTGCCATAAAATATATTTGAAATAAAAATGTGCAAACACGCCAGGAAATGCTCCAGTTTTAGCTAAACTGCTTGCCCCCCCCCCAGTGCCTGAATTATTTTGTCTGAGGAGGAACTCCCCAAATTATTTTGAAATGAGCTTTATCTGATATATCTTTGGCAGTTGTAAACTTGAAACAAATGCTAGTTGAGACATCTGATGCAGTGCCCTTTGAGGAGTGAGATGAAGGCTGTCCTGCCTGAACGGAGCATCAAAACAAAAGCCTTAAGTGAATATTTTACCTTTACTGTCTCTGCTTCTTCCCATCACAAATGCTCCTGGAGAGCTTCAGCTGATCAGAGTGAAAACAATACCAGGCTTGATGTTGGATTCCATATAAGGGGGCTTTGTAGTGCTTATGACTCATGGGCAACCTCTGGATTTATTCCTGACCCTATGAAGCTGCCTTGTATAAACATCCATCCAGACCAGGCGTTGGGATAACCCGACCCAGGGTTCTGATATGGCCCTCTAGCTTCTCTGTCTGGCCCTCAGGTCTCTGCCCAGGCCAGACCCTTCACTGTCCTTGTTCCACACTCTCCTCCAATGTTTTTGTCTGCTTGGAATGTATGTACTTCCTTCCTTCGCTGAACCTTAATTAGGCATTACAGATATAAAGGTAAAGGGTAAAGGGACCCCTGACCATTAGGTCCAGTCGTGGCCGACTCTGGGGTTGCGGCGTTCATCTCACTTTATTCGCTGAGGGAGCCGGCGTACAGCTTCCGGGTCATGTGGCCAGCATGACTAAGCCGCTTCTGGCGAACCAGAGCAGCACACGGAAACACCATTTACCTTCCCATCAGAGCGGTGCCTATTTATCTACTTGTACTCTGACGTGCTTTTGAACTGCTAGGTTTACAGGAGCTGGGACCGAGCAACGGGAGTTCACCCCGTCACGGGGATTCGAACCGCTGACCTTCTGATCGGCAAGTCCTAGGCTCTGTGGTTTAACCCACAGCGCCACTCGTGTCCCTATTGCAAATATAGGCCATCATAAACTATCCATATGTAAAATGGCAAAATATATACAAATAAACAGCCATATAAAAAAATGTAATAATGAGGATTTTCATTGGATTTTCTTCCCGCTAAATAGTGTCATTCACCACTCTAAGAGATACAGTGGTACCTCGAGCTGCAAACACCTTAGTTTACAAACACTTCAGGTTACAAACTCCACTAACCTGGAAGAATTACCTCGGGTTGAGAACTTTGCCCCAGGATGAGAACAGAAATCGTGTGCCGGCGATGCAGCGGCAGCAAGAGGCCCCACGTTCATTGCCTTGAATGTGTCATTGAACTGAGACAATGCCTCTTGCTTACCTTTGCATAAAGGATGGAGATATCTGTGTAGGAATCTGTGGAAATGTCTGGCTTTTGTGTGACAATGTAGAGCAGGGGTCAGCAAACTTTTTCAGAAGGGGGCCAGTCCACTGTCCCTCAGACCTTGTGGGGGGCCGGACTATATTTTGGAAAAAAAGAAAGAATGAATTTCTATGCCCCACAAATAACCCAGAGATGCATTTTAAATAGAAGGACACATTCTACTCATTTAAAAACATGCTGATTTAGAAGGCGATTGGGCTGGATAGTTTGCCTATCCATGACATAGAGTCACATCCATTGACCCACCCATGCTTGCCTCTTGTTCTGCCCCCTTTCGCCTCTGGCCTCATCCACTAGTGGCATGCGACATCTGAAATGTTGTCCACAAAGTCTCTTGCAGGAGACTGATTTTCTGGATCCATTTCAAGCGGGGTTTTGGCCTGGTTTTGGCAAAGAAACTGCCCTGGCCGCCTTATATGATGATGTCCGCCAATCCTTATATGATGATGTCTGTTAATCCTCCTTGACCTCTTGGCAGCTTTCAGTACCATTGAACCCTGTATCCTCATGGGGAGACTATCTGAGTTGTGGGTGGGTGGCACTGCTTTGCAGTGGTTCTGGTCCTACTACGATGGTTGTCTTCAGCGGGTGATGCTTGGGGGCTGTTTTTCAGAAGCATAGGGGCTTCAGTGTGGGGTCCCTTAGGGCTCAGTTCTATCCCCCATGTTGTTTAATATCTATATGAAGCTGCTGAGTGGGGTCATCCGTAGTTTTAGAGTGTGCTGGTGACGCACAGCTCTACTTCTCTTTTACACCTGCGAGTAGGGCAGTGGATGTGCTCGGCCGTTGTCTTGCCTTGGTAAAGGAATGGAGGGTCTTCTCCATGTCCTTCTTTCCCAAGAGGTTCGGAGGGTGGCAACACAAGAACACAGATTTGGGTGGGGGCTCCCCATCTGTGGAATGCTCTCCCCAAAGAGGCTCGCCTGGTAGCTTCATTGCATGCATTTAGGCACCAGGCAAAAACATTCTTCTTTACTTAGGCCTGTGGCCATTAAATAAACTATAGCCTTTTAAGAGTGGGGAGACTGTTATTATGGTTGTCTGATTATTATGCATTTTTTTATGCTTTTCTTATTGTGCTCCATATACAGTAATGTCATCTTAATGTTGTACACCGCCCTTGGATCTTTTGATACGGGACGGTATATAAATCGAATAAACAACAACAACAATGTGGCCCTTGAGCTGTAAAATTTCCCCATCCCAATCTAGCCCGTGCTGCTTTCCAGGCTCTTAAGCACAGGTTTTTCTGAGATCTTCTGTCTGTGATTGTTTTCAACTGCTTATGACAGGGATTGACGCTTGCAATGAAATCTGCCTGCTGCCACAGAGTAGTGGCATCTCCTCATGGGTAAGATATGACTGATAATGAAGGCCAAATACAGGAGAGAAACTACCTATCTGATTTCTGGAACTGTTCAGGTTGTGCCCACGTCAATCCGGACAGCATTACATCCAATTCATTCAGCATTTCCCAGTGAGGCGTGCGTGATTCCCGGACTTTTCCTGGGATGTCTAGATTTCTACACTTTTCTGTTCTTGATTCCCCTGTGTACATTATATATCCAGGCGGCTTCATGTTGCATAATTAGAGTAAAATGGAATCTGAACATGAAAGTGGAACTGAGGGGAGTTTTCTCAAGTGATATTAAGCACACTTTTCAATACGGAGTGTATCACTGGTGAAAGCTAAAGACAAATTAACAAATCTGAATGCAACTTTTGTCAGTTAACTTTTTCATTTGTTTACACATGTGGAAAATGGTGGAAAATGTCACATGTGAAAATTACTCAAGATAAGAGTTTCACTGAAAAGGACTTGCACTATTCTTTTAAATACATGAACATTTTGTGGCCCAAACCCAAATACTAGGCCTGCTAATACTTAGGCAACCAGCACTTTAGGATAAACAATGTACTCTCTCCCAAATCAGGATGTTACCCTGTTTTACAATTACCGTATTCTAATATTGCAGAGAAAGATGCTGGTGCAAATTATTTATAACTGTGTATAAAGATGGAATGCCTTCAGGATATTATGGCTTTGTTCTCTCCCCCCACCCATTTCTAAAAGAACCTATGGGAAATAAATAATAATTCTATGAATATGAATAAAGAGTATGAAAAATGACCAAGTAATATATCTGTGAAGTGGCTTTCCTGATGTTCAAGTTGTGGCTTTCCTCCCTGGAAATCTAAGGAAGTGTCTATTTCATACCCTTCCATTCAGAAAAATGATCCTGGCAAGCAGCCAACTTCCCTCATTCTCTTTATCTAGGATTCAAGTGCCACTTTCTTTTCTCTCTTTGCTACCCTTCCTCGGCGCCTCCCCCTGTGCATTCACTGCCTGTCAGGTCTGTAACCAGTCCAGCAACAAGCGGGGATCATAAATGCTGATCATAAATGCTATCAAACCCCCCCCCCCCCGTATTGGCTTCAGTGCAGTTTGAGCATTCTTGTGGTATTTCACTTTTCCTTCTTCCTTTTCCCTTTTTACACTGGCCACTTGATATGGCATACTTTGTCAGGAGCATCCACATACATAAATCATGGCTTTGCCCTTGTAATTAGGTACTACCAGTGACTGGGAAATGATTGAGGTCCCACTCATATGAGTTTTTATAGGAAATTCCACAGCTTTTACCTGATATCATACACCTGGGTTTCCTACTTTTGGAATTTTTTCTTTAGTGCAAATGTATCCCAGTTATTATGTGCATAGAAGTTGTTGTTGTTTGTTTTGTTTTGTTTTGTTTTGTTTGATCCTGAGGTCCCAGGATAGGGCACAATGATTTAAAATATCATGAATGCATTTATCTGCACATTCCAGAACATGAACTATTTCATAGAATCATAGAATTGTAGAGCTGGAAGGGAATTTGAGGTTCGTCTTGTAATAGATGGAAATATTGTAGCTCATTTTTTATTACTAATACAAAACCAAACTGTGGGGGAAATATTGAGGTTCAAGCCCAGTAACCCTGTGCTGCTAAGAACAGCCAATAGCATCCAGACTCCAATTGTCAGTCAAACAGGAAGTCTATTTAGGCCAGAGCTTTCCAAACTGTGTGTTGCGACACGTTAGTGTGTCGCCCGCAGTGTGCAGGTGTGTCGCATGAACGCTCCCACACTCTTATAAAGGGTTAGTTTAACCTCCGGTTTGCGAGTAAAACTGAATTGCTGTGTCACAAAATGATGCATGTCTAAAAAGTGTGTCACCAAAATGAAAAGTTTGGAAAGCTCTGGTTTAGGCATTGCAAGGCCAGTGAGCCTCAACCAGCCAGTAAGTTGCAGAGTGACACACCAAACATGGAAGCAGCACAAGTTTTTTGGGTTGGTATTCAACGCCAGACCTACTCAGAAAACCCCCCACTGAATTTAATAAACATAACTAAGCTAGGTTCATTAATTTCAGTGGGTTTACTCTGAGTAGGATTTAGCTCGTCTTGTGAAGCTGGAGCAAGGCAAGGTGCAAAGATTGACCTTGCAG